TACTACTAGGGTTAAAATAGGTCTTCAAAGCAGAAGATTTATTATGCATTGTTTTATTTTGGTCTTGTAAACAATATGAGAAACGATTCGTAATGGATGAAAAAGCGCAATGTGCAATTCCATGTATGGTAATAAGGCTTCCATGTCTGACTGCTTGTTGATCTCGTCGATCTGTATAGTCAAATTTGTTAATGAGATTTTGAAGACAATCATCAATTACTCGTGAATGTTGAAGTAGATATAAACATCGAATAAAAATAGTTGTTTGTAATAGAAGAAGTAAATACTCGGAATGTGAGAAAAAAGCAATCACACATAATGCATCAAGAGGAGCAAGTTTATTCTGAATTGACATAGTTCCATGTATATTCTGTTATAATAAAAATGTTTTTCTTTCATCTTCAGTCCAACAACAAATATGTGCCAAAGAGGTTGATGCAGAATAAAGTTTTAAATTTCTTTCATCATTTTCAGTTGGAATATTTTGAAGCCTCTCATATTCTTGTTTAATGTTATTTCGAATTATCGTCTCCCGTTATTCGTCTATTAGATGAGTTCTGTTAAAAGGATTTTCATTTGCATCTATATATTGACTAGTTTCATGATTCATTGAACGTTGTCTTGTTATTTCAAAAGTCCCCAAAACATAGAAATCTTTTATAGCTAACGTCCATAAAAGACTACTGCCAAAGTTTTCTAATTGCTGCATTCGGAGCCAAGGTAACAGAGTGATTAAGACACTTAGAATAGACAGTATCTTACATGATGCATTTGATAAAAATATTAAACATTCAATTAGAATATGACCAAAATAAAGATGTGGCCTATTATTGGCTATGGAATCTTTTGGATTGATTATAATAAATTTTTCTTTCAATAATCGAATATAAAGATTCCGTAAGTGTGAAGGAACAAATGTTAATGGAAATAAAAGATCTTCATCATTACAAAAGTGTAAATATTCTGCAGTACTTTATCCAGAGCAACTGCCATTCTGTATTGTATATCGAACTCAGCATTATGTTCTCACTGACCAGAAAAGTTTAGTGAAATGGTAAAATAATGAGCAAGATTTTTCGATCGAAATAAAATTGTACATCTGTCGATAATTGACCATTGAGAAACTTATCCTCTTGTCGAAGAGAATTAGGTAAATGTAATGTCACTCATTTATCAGGTCTTGTGATTCTCCTTCCAACAACATTGATATTCGTACACATGTGTAAAAAAGAATTGGAGATTATTTTCAAATTTTCTTGTACATATTCAATGTTATAAAAACATATAGTTGTAATACATAAATCAACTGTTTCTGTATATTCATCATGTTTTTCTATTCGTATCACAAAAGATTTTATACATTCTTGTTTTTTCAAATTTTGATCTTGTTTATTACGATCATTTCCAGAAAGAAAACGTATTAACATTGGTGTTAATGCAGTTGATTCTTGATGAATATGAGAAGAATTGAAGACAACAGTTTGATCATCTCGTGTTAATCCGCCATATAAAGTAATGATTAATGGAAAGAGGATCACAGGTATTGAATTTATTTCAATATCTTTATCAAGTAAGAATCCTTTGAAAGTAGTTGAATTTGAAGGTAATAATTGATGATTTGAAAAAGCAGTTTTAATTAATAGTCTATCAACAGCAAATCCATTTTTTTTCATTATCAAGTGGTAACAAAGATTGAAGTAATGAACATGATGTTTTGATCTAATCGTTGAATATTTTCAAATTCATGATGTTTTTCTTCGAGAAAATGACAAAGAGCTATTATTGTTTGAATATCATGTTGAGAAGACTGAGATAATAATTTATTAATCCATAGTGAAATAATATCATGTGAAAATTTTTTCAATGCGTTTGTAATTTGATCGAATAAACTCGGACAAACAATTGACCATTTATGTTGACCGGCTGCGATTATTAAACGATCTAAAGCATTGAATAAAATATCATTTGAAAGATAATTAACAAAATCATTGACACAATTAATTAATATATAAGCACCAAGTGGTAACAGTGAATCATATTTATCTTGCGCTTGCATAAATTCGTAGCAGAGATCGTTAAAATCGTTTTGGAACTAAGAAGAACTAATTTTCCCGAAAGTAAGTGCGATTGGTACTCGAAATTGTAGATCCGCTATGTGATGACACAACATTTGAACGATAAGTTAAATTTTGTTGTCTCGATCAAGTCCATCAATAGCAAATTTCCTATGTCTTGACGTATCTACCTCAATGAGTTTCAAACAAATGAAGTATTCTTGAAGTGATAGATGAAGAAAACCATAGAGTGATTCATCTCACGAAGCTAAAATACCAGCATCCAGAGATGTCCATCGCGGCTGAAAATCTGCCGCTGCCGCGCCGCGACGGTTTATAAAAAAAGTCGTCGCGGCGCTGCCGCACCGCTGCCGCGCCGCTGCCGCGATGGTTTTCAAAAAAGTGTTTCGAATTTCACTACAGCAACTATATGGGACCAGAAATATTGGTACTAGTTCCTCAGATTCATTCAGTCTCAGAGTGTTTCCTTTGTAAACAATGAAATTCTATCAAATTCATGCAGTTTTCCAATGTCCTCGAAAAAAATTCTGTCGCTGTCGCCCCACTGCCGCGATGAATTTTTAAAAACTTTGCCGCTGCCGCGTCACTGCCGCGATGAGTTTTTGAGAAACCTGCCGCTGCCGCGTCACTGCCGCGATGAATTTTTGAGAAACCTGCCGCTGTCGCGGCGGCGGCGCGATGGACATCTCTGCCAGCATCATTACAAATGACTTGTGCCATTTCAGATGCTTGTCTTTCAATATTATGGATATCTTCTCTTGTTAGTAATGTTTTATTTATAGAAGTTTGGACCGTTTGAGCACAGACTTCTTTGATTTCTTCATTGTCAACATGATTCGATGTTGAATTTTGATGAATATAAAAAGCAATATCAGTCAGAATTCGAATCACTTTTGATGTATCAATAATCAGTATTTTACTACGCCATAGATTTAACACTGGTTTGACAACTAATTCATATAGAAGAATATGTTGAGTAGGTAAAGATGAACTATTTAATTGACTAAAACATATAGTGCAAATATATGATAGTAAACCAGAATTCGAAACCATCTCAACAAGACCAACACTTTCAGTTTTTTTCAATTCTTTTTTCAGTGCTTCACTATGGTTTTCTCCTTGATTAACTAATGGAAGATCTAAAATATCAATGATACGTTGATGAACACGAAAAAATCAATAATCAACAAAATCTTTTATATGTTTCGTATTCATAGGTCGGATTGTGTAATGAGCAAATTGTCCACTTAGTAGAGCATCATGATAGTCAACTATACGACTTGTAACAATCAATTGATTATCACCAGATCGAGATGGATCATCGAATAACTTGCTTAGATAAACATTGTCAAAGGCAGAAATATTTGTGGACGTCTGAACATAAGTATTAACAAAGCTTTCAATAATATTGATGATTTTTGAATGTTGATCTGAAACAGGAATCTCATCAAGACCATCGAATATGATTAGAGTTTGACCTTGTGTAATATAATTTTGAAGAGCATATAATATATTTTCTGACGAAATCGATGAATCATCGACGATTGATTTTCCCATCCATTTATGTTTTCCAATATAATCAAATAGAGTGATTGTTGGTTGTTTTTTTAATATTTCGACAAATTCATTAATATGAATTAGAATTGGTATTCGAAAAGAATCATAATTAGTTGAATGTTGTTCATTGAGAAGAAGTGTTTGAGCAAGATGATGAACAAATCAATTGAATAAAACTTGTTTTTCCACTTCCTGGATCACTCAAAATAACAATCCAACATTTAGTTCGAATAATATTTTCTTCAGTGATATTATCATCTTTTGAAGATCGATCTCTTTCACCTATCGGGATCATATAGGGAGTTGACATTAATTGTTTCCATATTCCTTTAGATGTTTTTTTTCTACTGTCTATATCTCGTAAGATATTGTCTTGATCTTTTGTACGCTATCATCGTGACTCATTTTCTCTCAAATGATGTAGATTTATCAGCTTTAAATTGGATGAATTTACGTGTGAAAGGAAGTTTACATAATCACCATTTATGTTCTAATACCATTCGATCTTTGTAAGAGATATGATAGAAAATATTGGCAACTTTAGCAACAGTATTACCAGGGAAACCAGGAAGAGATTCATCTCGATGTAATTCAATACAACTGCGAAGATACGATTCAATTGTTTTAGTATATTTTTCACGCAAGAGACAAAGTTGTTCTGTGGTATTTTTCTTTGTTTGTTGTTCAATTATGTTTAAACTTTGCCTCATAGTTTCATTAAAGGATTTCTGAATAAGAACTTGTTGCTTCCAGAAAGTGTTGTTAAGTATTCGGACCCTCATTTCATAGTCATCTGTTAGTGATAATTTTCATTTTCACTACAACTTGTAACAACTTCATCGGTGGCTTTTAGTATTTGTGCAAAATATTCTTGTGAATGACTTTCATCTGATGTTGTAAATCTATCATTCAATTCTTGTCGAATACAAGTCAAACTAGTTATTATCAATTTCAAATGATCTTGATATACTTTTACTTCATTTGTTCGTTGAATAATATTATCGATTGCCGTTGAGATCGATGCCATTGATTCCATTTAAATTTCTACGATAATTTTTCCTACAAGTAAATAAAAAACTATGAACAAGAACTGTATTCTAGTATGATGCATAATTGTTCTATGTTTAATACAATTAATTACTTAGTTTTTTTCATATCAACTCGTTTAATTATAAAAATAAATGCGTTATCAGATAGAGATTTTAAATTATTGCATATAACAATTCGATTATTAGACTTGTACAATTATTCAATTCAGACATGTATGTAATAAAATGTTGAAAAAAGTTCAAGAAATAAAATACCTTCACATTGATTATGCTTTGTTCAAAAATAACAAGTAATTGTTAAGAATAATACTATTTGAAAAAGAACAGTGTGACTATCAAAATGTATTGATTTTAAAAAAAAGTGTAATCTTAAAACATCAAACATGAAATTTGTAGGACTTGCATAGTTTTCTAGAAGAAACTTTAGATGACAGTATAGAGTTGAAAAGAGCATCATAAATTACATTAAATGAATATATTTAGGTGTAGTACAAATTTTTTTTTTTTTTATTAGCTTTTATGCAATGATGATCCTAACCAACCAATAGTGAGGTAGGTGGTATCTCGTTATTATTATTTACAAAGGTAGAATATCGTTCTTCCAATAGAATGCAGAAAAATAATTTTGATTCTACTGAGAAAAAAACGAAAATTTTCCAAGTTTGGTAGGTATTACAACTTCGACCTTCCCTCCCCGTTCGGGCCACTGTTACATTAGTAAGTTTTTATTTTGTAGTAAAATCAGTTAATTGTATTCTTAAAGCCCTTCATTGCTTAATTTTCAAACTTGCTTATAATATTTTTCGTTGAGTCTAATAGAACACGAAAACTTTCAACGGTTATAACGCTAACAACAAATCATCCCCTTTGTACTACTGCCGGACATCTGTCTCTCAAAGTGCACTATTTTGTGAAGAATGTTGTGCGTTCTATTAGACTCAATGAAAAAGCTAATTCCCGAAAGTCTTAACGCTAGACAGAAAATGCTTTGAGAACAAAATTAGCTGACTTTACTAGAAAAGAAAATTTTGACTAACCTAACAATACATTACCAAAATAATTCATTCAATTTAATTGATGTTTCTTTTTTCAACTCATTACTTTCGTCTAAAGCTTTTGTTACAAAATTACAAAAAAACGTATTTGTTTTATGCAACCCCTACACGCTTTAGCGTTTACGTTTGCAAGTGTTACGGGCTATTCCCTCACATGTACCATCATCTTTTCTTTCTCTTATTTTCTTCTTTCTTCTTCACCTTTCTTCGGTTTCATGTTTGCACTGATTTCACCTCTATTTTTCTTTTTCTTTCATCTCATCGTCCACCGCTATATACGAATAAACATGTTTCCCTGGATAGAAAAATACATATGTGTGCGGACATTTTTCAGTCAGTTAGTGGGTCAGATATATATTTAAATAAAAAATAAAGAAGCAGCAAAAAAAACTCTTTACATTTCCCTAATAGCAAGATTGTAAGATTCTTCATCTGGGAGAGTCTCGGGATCTTTAGCTCTCGTTATTTATGAAAGCTAAATGATAAATAAACTAGTAATTTTTCTGATTCAAGAATATGAGAGTTCACGTAAAATGCTAATCATATATTATCTCCCCAGTATCTAGTAGCATCTGCCGACGTTAACAAAAATACCGTATTGCCACTGTCTGTTTTCTAAATAAATCAGTAAGGTACGGGATATGCAAAATTTGAGTGACATTTTTTTTTCTCGTTCATTTAGACATGATTTGCTAGTGTCTTTTATGTCGATTCGACTACTGCTTGACTGAGAAAAAGGGCAAAAAAGTTGAATGACTTCAAATATTCGTAGGATATTTAACAGGACGCTCACTTTTTTTTTACAGAGATTGCGAAATTTCAAGCACATTATTTTGTTAAACTTTTTTTGAAATGCTATATTCTGAATGAGCATGAAAAACTAAGTAAGAAAATGTTATTTGATGAGATTTATTACTTAGAAAAAAGGCAGAAAATCTTGTGTGATATAATGACTTCAATATGCCTTATAGCAGGTATTTGTGAGTATTCTTGTAAACCTATTAAGTGTTCTGTAACTAGAGATAGAAGCCAGTATCTTGTCTCATTAGAATCGTCAGTTTATGAGCCACAAAAGTACATATTTAGTTTTTTTTAGATTCTGTTTTATTGATGAAAAAATTGAATTTTTTTCCTGTCTGCTAGTCACATGAGGGAAAATTAAGAAAAATGCATTCATATTTAGAGGTTTTTACTATCATGGTAGACTCAAAACCAAAATAACGTACGATGCAAAAGTAATGGCACCAATGTCGATCTCTATTTCTCTTCGTTAGAAAGGCGCTGGAAGAAAACCTGTTTTACCAAAAGATAAAGCCTTTTTTCCTCTTTCGAACGGTATGTGATTTATATTTGTCACACATTTACAAATGAAATAAGAGAAGAAAAAAAAGAAACACTCCCACAATAGATTCGTAATTTTTACATGAAATGGTCAAAAACATCTTGTTAGACAGTAATTAATTCGATTTCTGTGGATCTGTTAACAAGATCTTGTAAAATGGCGCTTACTTTGACTTTTATGAAATCGATAAAAACATCTTGTAAAACGACAGCTGATTATAATTAGTTATCATCAACAAGATGTTTTAGACGAGTTCATATAAAAATTATAAATTTATTGCGTGTGTGCTCCTCCTTTATCTCGTCTTGCTTCGTTTATGTACTGTTCGAAAGACGAGAAAATTTTCTATCGACTGATATAAAAACATTCTCTTCAGAACCTGTTTATCGAAGTGATATAAAGATGGATATTTTATGCGGTTTTTTTTATGGAAAAGTGTAGGTTCTTTTTAAGGGTGCTTCACGTTTTTGTTACGTTATTGCGTTTATGAATGCGTTATAAAATACAGTCCACGACAAAAATTTAAACGAAATCAGTTTTTCAGTATTTTTTTACAATTCTTTTTTTCAGTATTTTGTTTTCATATTGTGAAGTGCGGATCTGATTTAAAGGGTGATATAGATGGTATGAGAGGCCAACTACATGATGCATCAAAGAACGAGACTCTGTCTGTTAATATAGATTAGAAAATAATTAAAATAATATCCCTCCTTGCAAAAACAGGTTTAGTTGCTTTTTAATATTTCAAATTTATTAACCAAGAGATTTTGTCTAAAATAAAAATAAACGATATCAATCGATAGAGAATTTCACGCTCTATCACTTCATAAAAACAGATTTTCCTCTATAGTCTATCTTCATCTCCAAAACTTGGTTTTAGTGAGAATAGTCGGCATTTTTCTCCCTTCAAAATAATGAAAAAAAGAAAAGCTAACGATGTTTCCAAAAACTTTATACAATAAAGTGGACATGAAAAATCAGTAATATTCGAACGTCAAATATAGTATTTCGTTCAGTTTTGAATGCTCTTTCTAACAGTGTATAAAATATTCTAATGGGAGGGAATGCGTTGAAGGTAATTCACTTTTCTTTTTTTTGCTGACTATTCTCACTAAAAACAAGTTTTGGAGATGAAGATAGACTGTAGGAAAAAATCTTTTTTTATGAAATGATAGAACGTGAAATTCTCTATCGATTGATATTATTTATTTTTATTTTAGACAAGATCTCTTGGTTAACAAATCTGAAATATTGAAAAGCAACTAAATTTGTTTTTACATGGAGGGATATTATTTTAATTATTTTCTAATCTATATTAACAGACAGAATCTCGTTCTTTGATGCATCATGTAACTGGCCTCTCATACCATCTATATCACCCTTTAAATCAGATCCGTACTTCACAATATGAAAACAAAATACTGAAAAAAGAATTGTAAAAGAAATACTGAAAAACTGATTTCGTTTAAATTTTTGTCGCGGACTGTAAGTTAGAAATGTATCGAAAGAGGAGAAAAGGCTCTATCTTTTGGTGGAAAAAAGTTTTCGTTCAGCACCCTTTTATCGAAGAGAAACAGGGATCGATATTTGTGCCATTACTTTTGCATCGTACGTTACATAGCATATTCGGAACCAATGTCAAAAACTGCATAGAATCATATGTGTTTTAGTAAAAACTGTTTCCGATAGAAAATCGACCTTTCGTCCACCTTATGTCTATTTTTCAAAAAATTTTTCCCTAGTCTCTCAGGGATCGACTTTTCATCGGAAACAGTTTTTACTAAAAAATATATGATTCGATGCAGTTTTTGACACTGGTTTCGAATATGCTACGTGTTTTGATTTTTGAGTCTACCATGATAGTAACAACCCCTAAATAGGAGAATATTTTTCTTTATTTCGTCGCATGTGACCAGCAGACAGGAACAAAATTCAATTTTCTCAGCAATAAGACAGAATCTAAAATAACTCAATATAGACTTTTTTGATTGATGATCTGGCGATTCTAATGAGATAAGACACTGGCTTTTATCTCTTGTCACAGAAAACTAGAAAGGTTTACATGAATACTCAAAAAATACGTGTTATAAGACATATTCAAGTGTTTATATCACACAAAATTTTCTGAATTTTTTTTAGCATCAAATTCAATCAAATAACATATTTTTACATAGTTTTTCATGCTGATTCAGAATATAATATTTTAAAAAATCTAACAAAATAAATGTCTCTGAAATTTCAATCTCTGTAAAAAAAAAAGTGTGCTTCTTGTTAAATATACTATAAATGTAGTCATTTGACTTTTAACCCCTTTTCTCAGCCAAACAGAGATGAAATCAAAATAAAAAGTATATATGCGTGACCAACTTTTCAAGCGCTATCAAGTCATATCTAAATGTACAAGAAAAAAATTCCACTCGAATTTTGCATTTCCCACACCTTACATTTTGACAGTTAGACTCTTCTCTTTCGAATGGTATCATTCTAAACAATAGAATTGTTGTTTGTTGTTCTGAATACAGAACGACCAATACGAATACATTTTATTTATTGTTAGACTCTTTTTCAAGATTTTATAGAATACGGTTGA